AAAGAGGAGTAAGCTATTCGACGCTGTATGTGCTTCAGCTAAAATTCCAGCGAACTGTGAACAGACGAAAGTAACTTAGTAGCTTACGAAACTATCAGGAACCACTGAAGTTGGTCAAAATAGGACGCTGATTCACATCGGTTTCACTAAGTGGTAATCCTTACATGGTGACCAATGCACGTACTCCATGCCATTGTAATCTTGCTTCGTGCATGTGTCATGATTATGTTCACAAGAACAGCAGATTAATACAAGTTACAAAGTTTGGTAAATAATCGGAATTCGCACAACTGTTAACAGTGATATGCGGTAATGAAATAAACAAAACGCTTGGAATTTGTATTAATTGATTTAGAACGTGGCAGGGGCACACATTTATGATCAATGAAAAAATGACCAATATGGTTGCTGAGACCATCCTAAATCAGCTCACAAATACTCCTTGTTTGGCCACTTACTAGCACTACAATAAGTTAATTTAATTAAAGGCTTCAAAGAGAATTGTTGACCCAAAGATGAAGAGACTAAATATCACTGCCTCATAATTGTTTATACATTGACACTCAAAAATAAACATCGAAATTCAGAATAACTATCAGTAAAGTATACAAATTTGAGTATCCAAATGGCTCACCAGGCTGTTCTGTTTCTCCTTTCATGTGAAGAGGGCGGTCATCCTTTGTTGTGACTGGTGCAACATAGTTTCCCAATATTATGTCAAGCTCGAAAACACTTGCCACAAGAGCAGGTCCCTGGATGGTCAGGAGTCCTTTGGTCGATAAAGGATCCTTGACCCAAAAACTAGAGTTATGTAAGCTGATGGCTTGTTTTTTTGTCAAAATTGCCTCAGGAATTCCCTATTTCGTAGGGTAAAGGTGAGTATACATAGTGTAATAAAGAAGAAAATAGAAGGCTTATTAAAAATGACCATAAGTGGCATATAAGCACACAAAAAGGACAGATTTTATGGGTGTTGATGCAGCTTCATTGGCTTGAAGGGATTTAAATTTTTGCCTCCTTTTATTCTACACTTGCCTATAAACAGTACAAATATGAGTTTGCTTAGGATGGCGGCTTTTCTTCAACTCTTACAGCAAACTTTACTTAAGAGTGAAGATCCATTGTTGACCGAGTGGTGTCTCCAGAGTGAAGAACAGTTCCGCTTGTGATTACGAAACATTTTGACTCATAAACTTCATTTGAATAAACTCCTACCCACATTAGAACTTTCAGCTACTAGGGTACGTAGGCTCCAATGATTCAGCTCTTTATCACAATGCGATTCAACATTCCTCAGCTGCAGGCCTATTTTAGCCGTAATTGCTTTTTAGTCTTTAACCATGCTTGACGCATGAAACTCTTTAGGCCTTTATTACGTGGCAGAAGAGTGATGTAAAAATTATCGATAAATCTTGTTTTGTGAATAGAGGGATGCCATTTATCGGCTGGACTTTAAACTAGTGAGTATGTCTTTGAAGGTTTGAAATGAAGATTCCTACAACAAGATGCTCCCAAAAGTTTGTTTTAATCAGAGATGAACTTATTAAGGGTGGATGTATTCCAAAATTGATTTTATCGTAATAGATCTGAAGGATAAAACAAGCAATATTTAATTCAATAATTATAGTTTTATTAGGGAATAGTTTAGATAAAAGACCCTATTTTACTGGCGTATGAAGTATATCCTGTTTATTAAGTGTTGCCTTGACGTTTATTTCGAGTGAAAGTGGGTATATCGATCTCACCAGTAGACGAGAGAGGTTTCGCTTGGACAATTTCTTAGATTAGTCTCGCTCATACAACAAGATTGACTTGAAAATTCGTATTTGCCTTAATAACATTTATCATGTGATAGATGAAAACCTACCAAGGAAGATGCTTCGTAAAGGATGATTTAGATCTTTAGTATGATTCAAGTAATTGGGTAAGAAATGACCCCCAGAATCCGTCTTAACTTACAAAGACTAGCTCTAACTCGTTGAAAAATAAAGCTAAGCACCTACTTTAAGTGGTATCAGCCAGTAAATTGAGCTTTGAGTCCATTTTTCTCCTAGCTCGGACTTTTCCTTCCGCATCTCAATACAGCATGTGGCTTCATATTCACACATCTCCAAGGGTGCGAAAGACACAGGAATGTTGATCAAGGAGCGTGGGTTTAGATGTAGGTCTCTGATGTACAAAAGAAAATTTGGGAATTATGCCTGGTAGACTGCAGATGCAAATGCCGAAAGCTTTGATAAAATTAAGAAGCAAAAACTTTAGCTTATCATTTAATGCTTTAGCTGATCATAAATGATCGAATAAGAGTTCTATTCGCCCTATGTCGCATAAGGTGATGAAAGACAGTGATAGTTGAATTTTTCCACAATGATATGAGCAGGCATTTCGATTCTAGTGAGTTTCACACTGCCTTGATCCCAGAAAGGTATTTTCATCTAGGGTGGATTGCAGTTGTAACCTCGTTGTTTCAAGATCTACCGTTAGTTTCCAGGACCTACTCAATACAAATATATACAAGATTGAATTCAAGAATAAGCTGAGTTTTGTGAATAACATGTTTGCTTGATGACCTCAGTTCATTCATAAACTGCTTATTATGAAAAAAGCGACTGAATATGATGGCGTGAATGTCTAAGTGCCTATGCTATTTTAACGTCACAACCTGAGGTAGCCTGCTCGCCTCTTTTGTCATACAAATGGAAAAGGGGAAGTACATATATTAGTGAGTTCTTGTAAATGTTGTCTATTTAGAAAATCAACTCTTTTCACCAAAGGTCAGATCGAAATGGTTATGTTATTAAAGAAGAAGAACACTTAGAGAAACATACTTATCTTTCTTCAACAGTAGTCGAAAAACTCCATTTTGCCCCGTGGTGTTTGTATCCTCAACTTGTTGAATTGCCTGGAGGCCATTTCTTTCTTCTTCCGTCAAAATGGCCGGGCTCTCCCAGCCTGCTGGTAGTAAGGTGACATCAAGCCGGACGGCCTGGTTTAGAGGATTGGTGAAGGGTATCAGTAAAGTGGAGGCGTTGCCTGGCAGGACGCGTATACTTACTGGTGCGCAAACACTTGGTGGGCTGCCATGACCAGACAACTCGAAGCACCATTCACCCAACTAAGGTGGATTTATGCCAAAATTAGATAAAATTACAGTAGACATTCATTGTTTAAGTGTTTAAAATTTTTTAAAATTGCTTAAAATCTTTGTACTTAAATGTGAAATCCTGGCCATTAGTAAAATATTATTTATTTATCTTTCGT